TTCTGCCTGGACCTCGTTTGCCTTCCATCTTTCCCTGGAGGATGAAATGGAGTATGCCGTGTTTTTCTGGGTGTCGCGTCATGTCTGAAATATTCTAATTTTCGCTTTTTAATTGTGTTGATGATTTTCCTTGGCTTTCCCAGGCGGCTTATCCCCTCCTCATTTCTGATCTTGTCAACCCAGCTTCTACGTAACAGCCGCCTGTCAATCCACATTTCAAATGCTTCTAGTCTCTTCAGGTGGCCTTCTGTCAGAGACCCACTCTCTGCTCCATAGAGCAGGATAGAAAAAATATAGCATCTGACAAGCCTGTTTTTCAGTCTTAGGCTTATGGCGTGATTGCAGAAGACCTTTTTTCATTTTGAAGAATGCTGTTCGAGCTTTCTCTATCCTTGTAGAGATCATGTCCCAGCTTTCATGTAAATTGGAACCGATCCTGCGTGATCCTTTCAACTTTTTCTAGTGGTTTTCCTTCTGAATTTATTGGTGGTAAATTAACAGGTTGTTTGCTGACGACCATGATCTTGGGTTTTGAGGTGTTAAGCTTCAAGCCGTATTTTTCAGATATTTCTGTGACTCTGTTGATGAGGAGCTGAAGGTCTTGGGATAACATTGCAGGGTCCAATCTGAGTCAGTCACCGGAGGTTTCCTCCTCCAAGCTCTGATCCCGGGGACCGACCCAGATTGAATGCTGCAGATTTAATGTTATTCCGTGCCGGGTCCTTCGCAGAACACACACACACACACACCCGCGTGTGTCTTCGCCCCCTCAGTTCCCCTGGAGGGGGAGCGGCTCCTGGGGCCAGTCGCCTCCCAGACTAGGGCGCAGACACGCGGGGAAAAGTCCCTTCTGAGCAGCAGTGGCAGCGGCATGTTTCCTGCGGGTCCTGATCGTCCTTGCGGGACTCGGCGGGAGAAAGTCAGCGGCCGCTCCCCTCCGGCTGCGCCCCGTCATGACTGGCTGTCCCGGGGCGGCTTCCCGGGCGGCTTGCGGGCTGCTCCGGCTCATAGGCCGGGTTGAGGTAGGCCTGGCTGTTGCTGCCGTCGTCCGCCAAGTCTCGCCCGTGCAGCGGTGGCCACATGGCGTCCCTTTCCAGCTGCCGCTGCAGCACCCGGTAGCGGCTGGATGAGCGGAACCGGCAGAGCGCCTTAATCAGCAGCCAGAGGCGCCGGTTCTGCAAGATGCCATCCTGGAAGGGAGAGGAGACGAAGGGGTCGCCTGGGCTGCCATTTGCCGCTGAAGGGCGGCTCTGAGCCATACCCAGCCCTGAAAGGGGGGAGGCTTTGGGGGGGGGAGCTGGGTGCCAGCGTCTACAATGGCTCTCCGCTGGAAAAAAGTGGATTGCGCAGCACTCTGAGGCTGCCTCCCTCCCTTTCCCAATTGGGTGGGGGGCACTTCTATCCTGCTGTCTCCTGGGGTCGCGCCCCATGGTTTTCACTTGGGGGGGTGTGCCCTGGTGAGGGTTGGGAGGGCAGGGAAAGAGACCAGCCCAATGCCATGCCATGGGGATGAGTGAGGCTCCCAGAGGAGCAAACCAACCCCCTGCCTGGCGGGAGAGGGGAGAGAGATCATCCATCAGGACCCCCGGTGGGACTCAAGGAGAGGGAAAGAGTGTTTGTGGGGGCCAGCCAAGGGCCACAGAACCCATCTCCAGCCCCATCTTGCCAGAGAGGAGAGAGGTCCTGAAGCCAGCTTCCCCCCCTTTGCAGCCCCCGGGCCCCTCCCTGCCTGAGTCCCAGGAGCCTTTGGCCCCTGCCCCAGGAGCTGCGGACCCTTGCCTGGGGAAGGACCCCTTGCTTACCTCCACCAAGAAGGAGACCAGAAAGGTGACCAGCAGCATAATCAGAACGTAGACCCTCCAGATGGTTGGGGTGCAGAGAAGCTGCGAGGGGGGGTGAGAGAAGCTCCCATCAGTGGGCCTGCCTGGTTCCCCCCTCCCTCCCTGCTAACCAAGAGGAGCCAGTTCTGCCCTATAGGAGTTGCTCTACTCGCCTCTGGCCAGCCCCCTGCCCACTCACCTCCATCTTCTGGTAGACCCCCTCAAGGTCAGCAAAGAAGAGGAACAGGACGACAGACAGCTGGAGGCACAGCATGCCCGAAAAAATATCTGGGGATGGAAAAGAGGGAGGAGAGGCCTCGTCTGTCCTGAGGAAGGAGTGGCACCCCACAGGGGGACGGGCAGTTCCATGCGACATCCGCCCCACGGGGATCCCTGGGGTGAATTCAAGGAAGAAAGAGAATTCTCTGACACCCCCCCAAGCCCTCCCCAGGATAGAAGGACTAATGCCGAGGGGGGGGGACATATTAGAACCCCTGTGGATGAAACCACAATCCTGTAACACTTTCTGGTTGAAAGCAGAAGCCGATATTTGTAGCTCAAGGTTGAAATGGGGGGGGGTCCTTGGTGCTCTCTGAGCTTGGCTGTTTCCTTGCAGGTGTTTCATGATGGGGGTAGGATAATGTGGAGAGGAGGAGGAGGAGCAGGAGGAGAAGGAGGAGGAACTGTGAGGTCCTTGGAGTTCTCTGAGCTTGGCTGTTTCCTTGCAGACGTTTCATGACCCAACTAGGAAACATCATCAGTGGTAGAAAGGAGGGGAGTTTGCAGAGAGGAGGAGGAGGAGGAGGAGGAGGAGGAGGAGGAGGAG